TTCAGACGTGTGCTCTTCCGATCTTAATAATATTTTTTTAGAATAATTATATTTAAAAAATTTTTTGAAAATTTTTGAAAATAATTATTTTTGAAAAATTCTATTAAGGTAAATGAATAGAGGTAATTTTACTGTAAAACTTTTGTATAAAATATTTTTTGATATCTTGAATAGTTTTTGAGATATAACAAAAGAAAAAAAAATTAATTTACATATAAAGTGTGGTTTCATTCCTTTAAATCGTTTTTTTAGCATCAAGTGATAATTTTTAAATTCATCTATTTATGTGACCTTAAAGTGTACCAAGTTTCATTAAAATCAGAATTTGACACTTCGCGAGGTTCCTTTGTGAGTCTAATACACAGACCGGCGTTTTTTGTGAGGATTGTATGGAGCAATCCACACCTCAAAATCAAGTAGGTGTGGAAATCCACACCCCGAAAATCCACACCCACGTAAATTACATATCCACAGAGATTTAGCGGAGGCTGTAATGGATGGATATTGATAAATTATTAAATGAATGTATAAGTAAAAATATTTATAGAACATCCACGTTTTTGATTGTAAAAAATAAATAATTAAATTTTAAAAGAAAAAATTTGTGTACTTGAAAATTTTATTAACTATGATGGAGTGGGGAAAGTGAGGGGGGGGATTTTTCATCAGAAATTTCCATAGTATTCCACAGTATTCCACCTCAAACCGAGACAAATCGCCAGGTCTGTGTAGAATCATTGCACGATGTAATAATTTCTATTTTCATATGTGTTAAGGGAAAGCGCTAATTGTTAATCCGCAGTAATGCAAGTATTTGTAGAAACCAATGCCTTTATTTGCTTGTACGTACAATTCGAAAACCATTACCTTGGTACTACTTGAAAACGTGTGCGTGATAGTAATACGTGACTCTGACAGAAGGCGACCCTAATCTAATTTAAGTATAGCGAGATCAGGCTAATCAATGATATCAATGAAATTAATATTTAATAAATGTAATTGACGCAAATGATTAAATTAACTAAAAGTGGATGGCAAATTAAAGTAGCTCCCTAAATCAAATATGAAAAATCCATTTGTATCATAATCACTAATACAGTTGCAATTTTCGTATAAAACTGAAAAATATATTTATATTATATTTAATAAAAATATATTTGTAAAATTATATTAATTTATGGTAATTATTGATTATACGGGAACCCTAGATCCGATGATCTTGATCTTGTATATGTTGTATATACATTTATGTCAACGACATTTATACCCTATAGTGACCTGCAAAAGGTATTAGTTGTTGTCAGTGAGATATATACATGCATAATGGAGTAAGCCTTGAGGTGGTGGGAATGGCCGAACTGTGGTGCAAGTATTGCTTCAATGATATCATTGAAGTGAGGCAGACGACCCCAAGCTGCATGACTGTCACTCTCGCACAGTCAGCTATCCCTGGCCACCACATGTTTCCTTAGGGAAGGCTCACACCAGTATGTATATATCTCACTGGTTGTTGTTTGTTGTTCGTCAAAAAATTATTAACAAAAAAATTATAAAGTTATAAAAATTACCGGTAATTATTAATTAAAATAATATTAGTATATTAGTATGATATTTAGTATATTTAATATTAGTTATTAAAATTACGACTAATTAAATTTTGTTTTGCGATGTAAACAGAAGTGAGTGTGGGGAAGACCTCGCTTCGCGTGAAAAGTAAACCTGTACGTGGAACAGTATAATTGTGAAACTTGTTTCGCCCCATAAGCAGAGGTGGATTTAGGGTGGACCTTTCTTTTTGCGTGAAAAGTCACATAGTTGAACGTACTGTTCCACATGGGTTTAAAATTTTCCACACGAAGCGAAGTCCAACCCACACCCTCATCTCTGCTTACGGAACAAAACAAGGTCTATAATTGTATCATATCATATGAGTTTATGACTGTCCAAGCAAAGCGAGGTCCAACTCACACCCACCCTTACTTACAAGGTGAAACGAGGTCTGTAATTGTACTATTCCACATGAGTTTTATAATAAAAACTTAACTAATATAATGAACGACGGCTAAAATCTCTTGAAAGTCACTCATGACCATGAGCTAGACAACATGTTAAGGTCAAAGTCATCGAAGGTGTTTCTCCTGAAATGAATAATTATCCTTAATTTTTATAAATTTATTCGTTAACAACTTTTTAACGAACAACGAGCAACAACTAAAACTGAAGGTCACTCAGACTGATAGCTTTGACAACATATGTCAAGGTCAAGATTATCGGAGCTGGTTTCCCTACATTCAATAATTATCGATTGAATATATGTATATTTCAGTTCTACATTATACGTGCTAATATAATTTTATGAGTACATACCTGGAGAATGAAATTGTAACCAAGATAGAGAAGTCCCATGCCAAATTTTACCTCCCTTTGTTTTATTTGCAATATAAATTGTAAAATCTAATTTGAATAAACAATTTAATAAAGTATTTAATTATAAAGTTACACATAGAATACTTAATATTTTACATGAAATAATGTGATAATTATTTACTTGGTTACGAAAATCTTCATCAAGATTGCAATTGAATAATTTATAAAGAATTACTATTGTCTCGTCTGTCTAAAATTATATTAATTAAAACTTGCAGTAAAATTAAAAATTTCTCACTGAACACACAAGGTCCCATAATTTAAATAAAAACATATTAATTTAATTGTAGCAAAATTGTTGCGTATCCTATTAGTGCAAATCATACCATTTAACATTAAATATTAATGATTTTTCATATTATTATCTTATATTATACCTTATAATAGACAGTTTGACAGATATGATTTAGGGTAAGAAATATGACATTAGTCACAGCGAAGTTCAGATAAAGAAATGCAATGGGTAAAATATTTTCAGAATTCCACAATATTTGAGCATGTTTCTCTAAATGGAGCGAATACAATTCGCGACAATCCTCTAGAATGCATATAAAATAACATGACATTTGTAGTGACATTTGTAGACTGAATATTTTGTTCAGTTGCCGTGATATAAGGGATAACTGTAGGTGGACGTGCCTGTAAATAAAATTGTTATAATTAAATAAATCACATAGACACGTACAAGTAGGTCTAAGCATAAAAAGTTATTGGATTTGAATTTGATGTCAATTTTATAATCTACAGTCTGCTAACAATAGGTATGATAATTTTACACAATTATAGTTAAAATTTGTGTGTGAGTATGTTATCATTTTTCTTGAATTACATTATAATCCACATATGTTGCATGCGTTTTTCATCTTCTGTTTTCTGCTGATTGATTACGATCAATTGATTTTGTCTTTTGATACAATCTGCGTTGTCTTTTAAGTCTTCTAACAGATCAGAATATAGTATAAGAATACGCTCATTGACTCGTTGGAACCTCGAGCTTGTGTGTCTGAATTTAACGGAAAAATATAATTATACCTTTAATTAAAATTAAGACTTATATATTATACGTCTTATAAATATATTTTGTTTGTATTAATTATTATATAGCAATTAAAGTCACATACTAAATTAGAATTTTTTTTATTTGTTATGTTTTAATGTACTTTATATTTTTTTAAAGACATATATTTTATATATTTTTATACATGTGTTAATAAATATAATTTTATTATTTTTCCATTTAAACTGATTTGTAGTGCGTGCTTTACCATAAAAATGTTAATTGACAAAATTTTCCTATCTAACAATAAGAAAGACTTATTAAATCGATCTACCGATCATTCAAACTTGAATATATCGAAGCATCTCGAAAGTCTTGAAGTTTGTTTTTGGCGTTTTTCCGCAATGATAACTTTGACTATATAAGTATGGACTGATAGTAATTAACTTCATTGGGGTGGGGGAAGGCTCCTGTGAAATCTGCGTGTTTACGACGTGTAAAGGAAAGGTGCTGAGTCTGTTTTTATAATTTCTTTACATCGATTTGAGATGTTTTTCCGGCTTCCTATTAATTTTTAACATAATATTTAATTACAAATAACATTTTGACATATTTGACATTTTTTTACTGACGGGTGGAGCCTAACAATTGAAGTTCGATAC